CATCAAAAGCTTACTGCTGTAATAAATACCCTCCTCATGGCCTTTGCCAAACTTTCCTCCTTGATAATGACCTAGGATCAAGCAGTCAAAAGCCTCATACAGCAGAGACATCAATACTGCTGGTTTACATTAGAATTTAGGGCTTGTATTTCTATGTTTCTGAAAATAGTTTATTCTAGTGGAATCTCAAATTTGCAAAGTTTAATCTGCTTTGTGTATAATAGTGTTTTCAAACATTGTGCTGCAATCACTTGTAAGGCTTTGGTAAGCCATGGATCACTGCACCCTGCTCTAGAATCCCTGATTCATAAAGATGTGAGTGATGCCAGAGAATCTGCAGGCTAGCTTCGTATTATTTCTTTCTTTGAGACACTACCTAACCCTGTAGCCCCAGCTGGCATGGGAGTCAGTATTTAGCTCATGCTGACCCTAAGCATACTGTTCTGTTGCCCCAGCCCTCAGACTATCTGGGATTCCATGTGTACTCTGGGTGACTGGGAAGGATTGGCAGATCGTGGGTGATACAAATACTTTTTGATCTGGTGAGTGCACTCCAAAGACTCTGCTCTCAGAAACAATACTGTGTATCGCAAATAAGAAGGAAATTAGCACCCCATGAAGTCAAAATGATAAGATGTAAAAAAAAAAAAACAAAATAAAAATAATATAGCAGAAGTACAGGAACTTGTCAGAAAGAGATCTGCTCACTTGATGCTATTTAAAGTAGAATACACCTGTGTGCTGCCATTCTTCTCTCATTCTGTCGTTTCATTCACACCAGGTTGAAGGCGGCCAAATGTCCTGTGTGCCGATTGCTCCCTCATTACTGAGCTTGTCACGTGCATAACATACTCACCATATTTCGTTAAACAATTGATCAACAATAGAAGGTGAAGTAATGTTCACCTTTATAAACAGCATTGCTTCATAGGTCTTTTCATTTTAACAGATGATCTAGCAACAAAAGCAAATATTGACCTACACAATAGAGTTAACATGTTGAATTTAAAAAAAAATGTGAGAAACACTGGACATGAAATGCTTTAGAGTTTCTCCAATTAGATTTGCTTCTCTGTGTTCAACATACACTTAATTTGGGTATTTTTTAACTATATTTTTCTTTTCTTTTCTCTTATTTCTTTACTTAGCATATGTTTTTAATGTTTTTAATATAATAGCTCCTTGTAATAATCATAAAAAAGTAAATTCTATATTTACTTTCAATCATTTGCATTTTGTGAGGTAGAGAATACTGGTTTGACATCAAGACTGGGTACATACGTTGGAAGCCAATGACAAATATGCTTTCAGGCTTGGTGGAAAATGGCAGCAGACTCAGCTACCATTTGTGAGACTCTGGGTTCAATTCTCAGGACCACAAAAGAAAAGAGAAAGTTGTTTGTTTTTTTTTTTTTTAATTGTATTTGGCTCACTAATGTGAGTAGCTGAAACATTGAAAACTTGATTAAGTCAGATGTACAAAGCAAAGCACTTCCCTCAAAAACCCTTGTGTGCTGCCACTGGTGAATAGATCGGCAGTTTATAGATGTAAGTTTATACACCTTCCTCACTGTTCTGTTTTCCCGAACACAGATTCTCCTTATTATCTAAGGCCACTCGTTCATGTTCCACCTTAACACGTCTCTGGGCCATCTGTCCCTATAATGACTGTTACTCATCTGAGACCAATTGGCTCCTGCCATTTCCTTAAACATGTATGAACTCCCTGTAACAACTTGTTTGCACACAGTTCCTTTCTTTTCCCACTCCTCTCTCCTTTCTTCTCTCCCTCCTCCTCCTCTCTCTGTCTCTCTGTCTCTGTCTGTCTCGCTCTCTGTCTCTCTCACACACAGTACTGCACTTACTTGTGTAGCTCATCTCTACTAGACCCTGAGCTCCTAAGGGAAGGAGCAGTGACTTGTCCATTGTACAATCCTCTATCGCTGAAAGAAGGCCCAGCAAATGGAAGAGCTTGAGATCATGGCAGGATGTTTATCTTATTCTGTGCCTTCCTTACTTAAGCTGTAGTTGCTGTTTTTGAACTATGCCTCTCTAAAACCCAAGGCAAAAAGATAATAATAATCCTTTGCTCCCATTAGTTATTTTTAACATTTCTCAGTACATATGGAGAATGTGTATCTCAGCTTATTATGAAAAATAATGTAGAATACTGATTCTAAGAAATGTTGCCAACAAACTTACTGATTTTATTTAGTATGTGTGATTATAAATAAATACATTTTGATGGTTGTCAGGGAAACACATTTATGTAGGAGAATGTTATCAACTATATCTAGGTATAAAGGAACATTGAAAAAATGTTAGGTATAAAATTATCTAGTTTACTTCTCTTTTGAACAGTTCACATGGAAAAAAAGTAATTTAAAATGTAGACTAAACCCTTTATATTTAAACTGAAATCTACAGAATTGTGAAGATGTAAAAACCAGAAAGTAAATGTTAACTACCTGCTTTGTAGTTTAAATTTTTAGAAAATTATTTGTATGTGGGTTATGGTGTATGGTATAGTAAGCTCACATCAGGATGAGAGGATCTGTACTCATGTGCTCGCACAGGAAGGCTGGAAGAGGACATCAGGGGCCTTCTATCTCTCTCTGCCTTAATGCCTTGAGACAGGGTCTCTCAGAACCCAAATGCAGCTACAGCCAGGCTGGCTAGTAAGTGAGCTTTCAGGAACTAACGACCTGTCTCTACCTTGCAGTGTAGGGAGGAGCTTTCCAGGAACCTCTACCCATACCTGACTTTTAACTGCCTCGTAGGGATTCAAACTCAGTTTCTCATTCTTGCAATGCAAGGGTTCTGACCCATCTCCTCAGCCTTGCTTTTATAGTTTTGAAAACAACATTTATTTTGGCTTGCTTGAATTAAGATGTAGAGTCTCTGGACATGGAGATAGTCAATACATTTTGCACACTTTCAAAACATCATAGTAATTTTTATAAAAATTGATTACATCCTTAAATACGGCATTTGAGGACTTTGTGAGGTATATGAAAGGCATCTGAGATGGTTTACAAGTGTAGCCTGAGCTGGTGCCATGCATTCTTTCAGTGCCACTCATTGTGATTTTCCATCAGCTAAGAACCTTGAGGCTTTTTGTTGGCTTGCAGATACACAGTTTGCTACATTTGTTTACATTATTCTACTGAACATTAAAGAGAAGTTTGCAGAATCTAATTTAATCAAAACATCTTTTGATTTTTTTTAGCCCTTTCTTTTTAACAACTTAACCACAGATTAGAAACCCAAATCATCAATATTGACATCTGTAGGTCTCATTTGAACCAATTTCTATTAGCCTTAAACATACTACTTTTTTACATTTTTTTCAGTATTGAACCAAAATTTGGTAGATATTAGGTAGACTTCATGCGGATGACTTAACAGTTGTAGATTAGGAGAACAAGTGAGTGTGTGTGCTCGCATGCGTGTGTGTGTCATGGTGGGGTATGTTTGGGGGTTGAGGAGGTAGCGGCTGTAGGATAAGGAAACAGTGTTATTGCTTTACTAGCCTCCAAGTTGACCTTTTCTTGCCTAGGGCTCCCTCAGCACTAGACTGGCGAATAGCACCAGGAAAGGAATTTGTCAGACCCAGGGTGGTATCAGGAGTTATATAGGAAAATAGTAACGAACCCTGCAAAAATAAATAAGGAAACCCAACTGAAACAGCTGTACCGGATGATGTGAATAATAAAATTCCTAGTTATATTTTGCCATAAATAGAGGTTTGGGAATTTGTCATTCACCTTATTTAAAATTCAGAAATATTAAAGGTACAGGTTCTCTCATTACAGAAATAATAGAATCCCAGCTATTACTGAGTGAGGGTCATTTAAATGGATATAGCATGCATTATAGCAGCAAGTGGAACATCTGTATGAAATGTCCACCTGCTGATCCACTATTTCTACTCCGTGCACAACTCAGTGAACAGCACTTAATCATTTTAAGACTTCTTCTAATGAAGCTTTATCTAGATTAACATTTTAAGCACAAATACTTTCAGGCATTAAAACCCTCACACTAAATGAAATTGCATTGTCTTGTTTACCCTTGTTGATTAATAAGCAATCTGTTAACTGTTAGAATAGTCCAATTGTGGCAGTAGAAGGAGATTAGTAATTCAGTGATGTTTGTGGGTATAATCATCATTTCTCCTGAAGGCTTTGAATTAGAATATCACTTACACACTATCCGTAGGCAAGGAAAGGATATAATATTTTTAGACATGTGTACCCACTATTTTGCTTCAATCGTTCAGCTTAGGGTCAGTGCAGCAATACAAATGCTTCTGGGGGGGGGGCAAAATGCTATTTTGATGCGCATATCAATTCTAAACAGTGTAAGTGTCTATTAAAAGAAACAGAGCAAGTAGCAAATTGTGCGATAATATGCACTATCTTGATTTCTGTTTTCAGAACATTATTGTTTTGTTAATCAAGCATTAGAAGAAAAATATTGCCCACTATTTTTTTAGATAATTGAGTTTACATATGAAAATTCTTTGTAATATTATTTATTTTTGCCAATAAAATACTGAACTTTTTTTCTTCCAAAGAATCTAAGGAATAACTTAGAAGAACAGTTACATCGTTGGGGAGGGAAAGGATTCTCTATTTGTTGTTGTGTTTCCTTTGACCTTAAACCAACACCTTTCAGTCTGTTTGACTGGAATTCATATGACCTAAGTGATTTTTTTTCACCAGGTGAGAAATTGTTGATACTGAGGTGTCAAGATAAGATCTTCCATTTTGGAACAATAAATAGTGGAAAGGGAGAGAGGAAACAGAGGCCCCTAAGTTCCCTAGCATTCATTAGCTATGTGCAGGAGGCTATCAGTCTCAAGGAAACCTTTTCTCTTTTCCTTATCCCAGGTTTCAAAGCTGAGCCCAGCCCTGCAGTGTGAACATATTGGGAGTCATGTTGTCAAAACGTCAGTTCTTCCAACACACATAAACTGGTCTTTCTCTGTATTGTAGTCCCTCTGTCATGAGATCAAGCAGCGGCGTCGAGGAGTGGCCTCCGTCCTGAGGCTGTGCCAGCACCTTCTGGATGACCGGGACACCTGCAATCTGAATGCAGACCATCAGCCCATGCAGCTGATCATTGTAAACCTGGAGAGACGGTGGGAAGCCATCGTCATGCAGGCTGTCCAGTGGCAAACACGGCTGCAAAAGAAGAGAGGACAGGAATCCGTGAGTGTCTTTCTCTAGTAGGCTCAGCTCTCTTTATTGACAACCCCCCCCCCTCGGGCTTGGACAGAATCATAGCATATAAGTGTCTTTGGAAACTAGAGGCATAGCTAATCACTAAGCAAAACTCCATCATTGCAAAACAGTTACTGACTTTACTGACATGCATTTTAGTTAATCTCATTGTCTTTTTAAAAAATTCACAAATATATTTTGGTTAACCTTGCCACTAAGGCTGGTAATTCTTTAACTTATTCTTTCATGAAACATATTCACCAAGCACACAGTACTCCATGGAAACTTTGCTAGGAGGTAGCTTACCACTCTGAGTGCATGGAGCAATGTGTATGCTCTCTGTACGGTTTCATTGCTGAAGATCTATTGTTTATTGTTCCCTTTAATGAGGAGCTAACACCATGTGTACAGCTGTCCCCATCGATCCTGCTTCAAGTGTCTTCTGATAGCTTACTGAGAACTTCAAGTTTCTTCGTGGAGTTTAATGCAGTGTGCATAGTAGGGGGTCATGATTCCCACTAACAATTTGCTGGATTTGAGAGCGCAGCTTGAAAGAGTTACTAGGAGAAAAATTCACAGAAGTTGTAGAAGTTGTCTTGCTATAATATAGAATACACACTCTCTCTCTGAAAGCCTTCAGATTCTTAGATGACATAAATTGTCATTGGATAGAGTATATCTCTGAAATGACCTTGACTTCAGTGTCTAGTAGTTATAGGGCCAATTTTCACATTTGACTTACATAAATGTAATACATGTATAGGTGGGGTGACGATATATATGTATACACACACACACACACATATATATACATATACATACATACATAGTTTTCACATACAAGTACAAATTCTATTCTTAACAAAGCCATAGGATTTAATTTCTGGTATGTTTTATGTTAGGGACTCCTTTTCCCTTTGTGCTGAGACTAGGAGGTGATTTCTCTCAAAAGTTGTGTTCAACTGATCTTAGCTGAAGTAGTTAAATTTTTTAAGATCTCCAAATTATTATCAGTAATCAGAGTCAACATATGGGATATATTTTCTTGAAATAACTTGTTTGTTGTGAAACTTTGGATAATATCTTTTATTCCCTCCCTTCTTCCTCTTCCTCCTCTTTTTGATAGTTTGTAAAGGCAAAAGAGGTTGTCATCCTTTCCTCTGCTTTGTGCTGATGAGAATGTGACTTTATTAAGTACCAGTGGACTCTTGGCGCATTCGACTGGTTCAGCAAAGATGAAGCTGATTCTCTTTCAGGATTTAAATTGAGCTCTACAAACTAGACGTAGGGAATGGGTGTTTGCTTGTGTTCCTATGGGGGGCATAAGTGCCCATGGGTGTGATACATGAGGGTTGTGCATGTGTGCATAAGAGCTGGTGAGCATGCTCCCATGGGGAGGCCAGAAAAGATGCGTCTTACGCTGTCGCTCTCTTACTCCCTTGATACAGAGTCACACGGAATCTGGAGCTAAGATGTCAGTCAGCAGTGGTCCTTCTCTTTCTACCCCTTACAGGCCTGGGGTTCTAGGCACAGCCCACTGTGACATGTGTGCTAGGGTTCTGGACTCTGGTCCTCTTGCATGCACAGGACACGCTCTCTTACCTGCTAAGCCTTCTCCCAATACTCCTTTGTTTTACCTCTGTCTATAGTAAAGGCAAGTTGCTTCTTGGAAGCTTGAGCTCCTAGAGAGTGGTTATAAAAATCGCAGAAAAAAAGTCTCCTCTAATTAGATGATTTGGAATAATGGAGATAGCAAATAAGGATGCTTATAATAAAATATAAAATGTACTGAAAGTCACTCTCAGGAAAGAAGTGGGAAGAGGGAGAGTGGACTGAGGCTAAGGGTGCAGTGAACATGGGGGACTGTTGTATTGGGGGTGTTTCTCTGTTTCAAGGCTCTACTGTTGAGTGAGGAGTAGAAGTTGCTTTTATGATCACACAAGTATTTCGGAAATGCAGGAGGAGATCTTTGCCAAGACTGAAAGGTCCGCAGGAGGCCTGTTTCTTGTCTATCATACACCTCCCCCTCTCCATTTCCTGATTGTGCATAGGGATTTCTACTGCTATGCTTCCAAAACTTGCAATATATTTTGCATACATAGGCCCTTGTTAATATTTGCCAAGTAAGTGAGTACATGACTTTGTTTGGTAAAGTTCATCCACGCAGGCATTGGTGTAACTATATACCATACCTATAGCTTACAAAAGAAGTCATACTTCTAAGAGTCATGCTTTGGAAATTGTTTTATTTCTGTAGGAATATTTTACCTTCACAGGAACACCAAGAAGCTGCCTTTCAACTTTCTTTTCTTATCTAACAAGGCTTTTACAGATTCTTTGGTCTATTTTTCTTAGTTCAAGGAAACTTCCAGCCTCTGCATTCAATCTGGGGAGGGTGCTGTGGCTAATTTGATGTAAATCTTGAGGGTGCCAGAGAGCATGGGGCTCCACAGGCAGACGCTCCTGAGCTAACAAAGCTGTCTTTTGAGCTCTCCAGCAGGAGGAGCACACTGAAAAAAAAATGAAGAGAATAATTTTTGAAGTTTCTATGAAGCTACAAATAGTCCCCTTTCTGCTCAGTGGCATTAGGAAATGTCACTAACAGAGTGTGATGGGTCATTTCAGTTGTGAACTGGATGGGATCTAAAGTCACCTGGGAGATGGGACTCTGGGCATACTTTTGTTTTTCAAGACAGGGTTTTCTCTGTGTAGTCCTAGCTGTCCTGGAACTCACTCTGTACATCAGGCTGGCTTTGAACTCAGAGATCCACCTGCCTCTGCCTCCAAAGAGCTGGGATCAAAGGTGTGCGCTACTACCCCAGGGCCTGTGTGCATACTTAGAGAAAGTTATCTTGATTAGGTTAAGTGAGGTAGTAAGACATACCCATTGTGGGTTGCACTGTCCTTTGTGCTGGGATCTTGGACTGACTAAAAGAGGATAAAGGATGCTGAGCACTGATCTCTGCTTTTGGCTTTGGACACAATGTGATCATCCACCCCAAGGTCCTATTGCCCTACCATCTTTGGTTGTGCTCTGAAACCATGAACAAAAATAAGACCTTATTTCCTTCTATCACATGTTTTGTGGTACAAGAAAAACAGTTGATGCAAATGCAAACCTCATCAGATTGATAAAACCTAGTGTTGGGACAGCACCTTCCTAGCGTCTGGAGGATGCTTTTACAGAAAGTGGCTGCCAGCCTTTTGTCAGAAACAGTGGAAGTCAGGAGATGGAAAAAGTGGAGATGAAGTTGAGGCAGCAATGTAAAAAAAAAGATAAACTAGTTTCCTTCACAGAACAAATGTCATTCAGAAAAGAATAGATATTAGTTTCTAAATATCTATAGCAAAAGCACTCATTACCAGCATACCTATACTGCTAGAAATTTTAAGGGAAGGCCATCAACCAAACAAAACTTGCATCCAATAGAAACCTGGATATGCACAAAGGAATAAAGAACATGGAAATGACAACTGTGAGTAGATGAGAAGCACTTTCCCTATTATTTCAATCTCTTTAAGTGTTAATAGACTGTTTAAATCAAGATAATAGTGTTGCATGGCACGATTTATAGCAAAGAGGATAAAATGGACAACAGTATCTCACAAGGCAGGAAGCAGAAATGCCACCATGCTTTGTACCATTTTTTAATTTTATGTGAGGTACTAGAACATCCTTTAAAGGGACGCTGTGATAAGATCAAATGTATATGTGGCTGTTATACCTTAAAAACACAACAAAACAAAAAGTTAGAGTAAGACACAAAAGGAAATGAAGGAGGATCATTTTTTAGATCCCCATTTAAAGAAGAAAAGGAAAATAAGAAACAGATGTAATAAGGTTTTTTAAAGGCGAGATGAAGATTTAAAGTGGCTGTATCAATAGTCCTAATGAATGAAACAGACTGAAAACTACTTAAAAGAAAGTAATTGTTAAATTGGGTAAACTCAACCACACATTGCCTACCAAGCAGTGGTAGAGTGAGTATATTAACATTAAACAAAGCAGATTTCAGAGCAAAAAATAAATCACCGTGTGTAAAGAAGGGCATGTCTTCACAATGGGAGCTCCAATTTAACAAGAGAGGGCGTTGCTAAATGCCTAGAATAGCTTGCAAACACACCATATAGAAAACCTACACTTCTGTAAAGAAACAGGAAAAACAGGCTGTCAGACAGGGATTCTAACATCTTGTCTCAACAACTGATAGGCCAGAAAATCACTGTGAACATATGAACACATGAATGATATTGTGAAGCAACAGGACCTAACTGAAAGTCTTATCAAAAAGGCAAGATGGTACAGACAAAAGCTGAACCCATTCAACACTGGTGGAAAGGTTGATTGCTGCACCTGTGAGAAATAATAAGGAAGTTCTTGAAGCATCTGAAAATAGAATTACTGTATATGCCCACAACCTCTGATCTGGCATCCCCTCGTTAAGGTACCTGAATACCCTTGTTCTTCACAACATTATCCACCATAGCCAAGGTATAGAAATTAAGGTAATCACTGGTGAATGAATTGAGAAAAATTTAATGTGCATATTTATTCTTTATATGAAGATTCTGACATTTACTACAACATAGAAAAAATCTAAAGGGCATCATATGACGTTAAATAAGTGGACACCAAAAGAAAGATAATAGACAATCTGATTTGTATGTGGAATCTTAAAGTAACAACAGAGCAGAATGGTGGTTATAGAGGCAGAGACAGGAAAAATGGAAAGAGATCTATCAAAGAACATGAAAATTTCAATTATGGCAGAATGAATAATAAAGAGTTCTAATGTATGAAAGAATAAATATACTTACTAATATTGCCTTGTACACTAGGCCTGTGTTAGGTTTTAGGCATTCTTACCACAGACATACACAAAGAAACTAAGTCTGAGATTATGAATTTGCAAATTTTATTAACTATAGTATTCACTTCACTGTATGTCTCCGTATCAAAGCATGGTGATAATCGTAAGTATACAACA